AGGGTGATCAGCCTCGTCTCACCACCGTGCTGGAAGAGGCCTTCTCGAAGTTCTACAGCCGGAATGGCTCTCTGAATCCCGTTACTGTTTCCTCGTAGCCGAGGGTGGGGCGGTTGCTGCTGTTTTCTCCACTGCTCCTCATGCTCCACTGCTCCTGGACGGGACTAGTGCTTCATCGCTCAGTGGACTGGGTGAAAGCTTTGCAGGGATGGATCAGAAGACCTTGACTTGCGCTCAAATAAGAAAACAAAAAAAAAAAAAGCAAAAAACAATTCCCGCGCTCTGTTTTTCACGCCGCTGTAGGTGGCAGAAACTGTTGCCTGATGTTTGTGTACATTTATTCTCTCAGTGTAGCCGTCTGCTTCAAAAGAAGAAAATTGACAAGGTTATTTAAGTCAGTATTACAAGCTGTATTTTACTTTTTACCTGTGGGATGGGTCTTTCTTTTCTCTTTTTTGAAGCACATAGTGTGCATGTCCTTGTATCAAATATGAATTAGTCTCTTGTCCTGCCTACCCAGAGTCTTCTCTTATTTAAATGAGAAGTGGCCCACCGTTTATGGCTTTAACTAGTTCTCATGAAGCAGAAAGTATGAGCTGGTTGTTATTATCTTTCCTTTTAAAGGTGTGCTAATTTTAAAAAATCCTCTCCCCCTCCAATTTGGCCATATATCTGATGCAAGCATTAATTGAGTAGCACTAAACCAGGATGTGTCCCCTATGTTTCTGTTATAGCTGTTCAGTAACGATTTACAAATGGTACGAATATGTTTATTCTGTTACATGCACGTTACAACTGTGCACAGATGATGAAGGACGATTGATCTCCTGACCTTCATCCGAAAGAGTCCACCTTGTGTTATTAGCAGGAATCACAGGCTCTTGGGAATGCAAAGAAAAATCTTAATTGGAGCACCTTTTAAGGTAAACAGTAACTGTGGCTCAATTTTGACCTGCAGTGCAACATTTACTTAAGCCAATACTGTGAAAGGATGGGGCTGTCAGTGTTTGGGTGGGGAGAAAAAATGCAGATTATTTATCTACATTATATACGTAAGGACTATCTTAAAGCGTGTTTCACTCTCAACGTTGTGGCAACTATTTGTGAATGTATGCTCTCGTTTGCTGTATAGTTTTTCATCCAAATGGTGTGTGAGGGAAGGGCACTTGGTTTGACCATTTTTACCCCCCCCTTGTATATTACAAATGAGTTTTGATAGATTACTAATCTACACCGTATATGATTTGTTAATATGTGCCTTCTGTAGACGAAGAAAAGACACAATCTGTCCTTGTTTAGATGGCAGTTCAACCCTTTTTATGACTCTTTATTTGCTGGTTACTGATGTACGGTTTCAGTTGTTCATTACATAATGGACATCGGCTCACATGCATGTATAAATATCTAAGTTGATCGATCTTTAAAGATGTCATTCTGCATTTAAATGCAGAACCTGCTTTTTGCCTTGTAACGGTCAAAGTGAGTTTGTTTATCAGGTTCAAATCAGTGTTTTTGGAGATGGAGTCTACTGAACTCAACTGCAGGTGTCATGCATGTAACGGTTTCTCAGCAGTGGTTATTGTTGGTATTTGAGAAGGTAAGAAGGTCAACACCTAGATCCTCACTTATCTATTGGCTCCAGCTTTCTGCTGGATTGTACACTTCTGAACCCCCCACACACACACACATACTGTATATTAAAATATGATTGTGGTGGGCTTCTGAGCAACTGATTTGAATCCACTTTGACAATAAGCTGCTTTGCACCAATTCAGAGTTGTCCAAATTAAATGATGAGGATTGAATAACTGACTTTGTTTTTGTAGCAGATTCATCATAAGCTCTTTTCCCATTTTTACTGTGATAGTGTGTTGTCTTTTCATTGTGGTCACTGTAAGAAAACATCCTCATTTTTTTTCAAATTGGGGACGTTTCAAGTTGTTTAGTTGGCCAATCAGACAGTTGGCCAAATGCAGTTCATTTTCTCAAGTGATGGTAGAGGTGTGAACTCAGCAAAATATTGTCCTGTAAATAGTGAACATTAAAATGAGCCCTTAGTATATATTTTTTTTAAAAAACTGATTTGATTAATTGTGAAAAAGCACCATGGTTTCTTACTGTTTCTTTATAAAGATTCTTAATTATTGTTCTTGCATGCAAAAGAATGTGATTGGGGTGGGTGGGGTAGGATGTTTCTTAGGGCCCCCAAACGTTTGAAAATGGCCCTGTATTTAGAGATTTGAAGCAACTTATTAAAGAAATATACCACTAGAGATGCTCTTATGGACTTTACTTAAGCCCAATTTACACACTTGCTTTAAGAGTGGGGCCCTCTTCAGGAAACCACATAACCACACCCTGAAAAAATAACTTACTGACCATGTTGAGAAAAGCAACACTTTGTTCAGAAGCTCACCACATTCACTCTTTTCTTTTGTGCACCACCCAAACATCTGACATGAGATGGGTTGACAATATTTCTTGTGAACCTAAGCAATGGATGTTAATGTCAAAGTTTGTAGTGCAGCTGTCCAGTTTTGGAAACCTTGACAATAGTGAACACTCTTATTCTCAAAACAATCCTCTTTATCTTTTCTCTCACACAAGACCGTAAGAAGCTTGTAACTGCTTTGACAACACAATTCCTCTTCTGTATCTTTTTAAAGTCGCACCATTTCTTGATATAAAGATGACACTTAGAGCACTTCTGCTTGTGAGTCTGTCCTATTTTTTGAGTCTGTCCTATTTTGTTAGTCTTCTATAAACGGAGCTCCTGTTAAGTCAGCCTAAACTCGTCAGCAAACCACCTTTAGGCCAAGGGTCAGTTATTAGAGTCGTTTGAAAAGCATTTTATTACTTGTTCCAAAAAAATATTGAAAGAAAAAAAAAAACAGTAGCCCTTGCACAAATGCACAATAAAACATCAAAACTGATCATCATTTATTATCTTGTTATTCAAAAAACAATCGTTACATAACTCAGCATGCAGAACAACACAATTCAATATCTCATTTTGCTTCAGGGAGAAAAAGTACATCAAGCCAGAAAAATAAATATCTCATTAAAAAAACACCCCATTGACACATAAAAAGGCAACAGGTCCATAAACATGAAAACCTACAAACATTTTTGGGAGTCAAATCCTTTACAATGTGTAGAATGTAAAAAGGAATACAAAACCGTACAAAGCACTTATATTCACATAACTGACAATAGGTATTGGCTTTTTATAGAAATGAAGTCTGTTTAATTTTGAATATTGTATTGAGGCACAACATCATGAGCCACTGGGGCTGTTCTTGTCATGAAAATAGTCATGGCCTCTGAACTTTACCTTAGCACATCATCAAGATCAGGGGAATCCAGCTGTGGTCTTAGATAGGACTGAGTATCAAAATTCAGTACTTTTATGGTACCAAAGGAATTACTTCGATACTATCAAGTATCAAAAATTTCTGTTTTAAACAATACCCAAGCAATCTCATCAGCAGCCATAGGCCAATTAACAGTAACACTTTATTTGGAGTCCTTTGTAGATGATTAATAACCTCTTAACAGATTTTCAGTAACACATCAACAACATACCAGTGAAGATATCTTGTAGATGTTCTGTTGATACTTACATTAAGTAGATGTATTGTTAATACGTTACTAACATTACGCAAAACCCAACCTTACCCAAAACATGACCCTTACCTCAACCTCAACCCAAAACCTAATCCAAACCCTCGTTTGATTTTGACGTTACTGAGAGTCCACTGAGTCCTTGTTTCACCTAAAAGGACCATTCAAAATAAAGTGTCAACCGAATAACATGCTTGTTCTGAAATCTAGAGTCCTGATTGGATGTCTAGATTACATTCCTTAAGCATGTAGTTAATGTCAGCGCTTCTTGATTTGTCTCATCTGTTGCGGTCAGTACCCACCTGCAGCACTTTGCACTCATTTCTGAGTAAAGCAGCACACTTTCATTTTGTTATATTTAATGAAGGTATTAGAAAATGTTCAATACCAGGATATTCAGTAATCACTGTCGAAGTCAAGGCATTGCTGTTGAGATCAGAAATTTTAAACGATACCCAGCCCTAGTCCTGGAGGGTCGCAGTCTAAGGAAGTTTGGCGATTCCTCTGTACAAACACACCTCATTAAAGCTGCACGATATGTTGTTTAATCATTATCGCAATATTGGCCTTTCCTGTACAGAAGGCTACGCTATGCAAATGAACACAAATTTATTTGTGGGCATTCAGTTCTAGATGGGTTTCAATGGGTGTTTTGGAAAAAATTTATACATTCACATGATCCCACAAATGTAAATAATTACAGCAGAACTGTGCTGGCTGCCATGTCAAAGATTCACAAATGTGCGTTTTAATATATTATATATTATATTGCATACTGCAATTACGATATGATCATAATATGGTATTTCATCCATATCGTGCACCCCTACTGGTCATTAAAGGGCCTATATCCTTCTTTTTTTTCTGGCATTTATTTTTTCCCTGAGGTCCACTTTCCTGAAATCTCTGGATTCATGTACCAAAAACAGCCATAACTAATTTTTAACACCATTCTCTAAACTCTCTTTATTCCTTAGATTAGCTGTGGTTTTTGTTACTGTGTCTTTAAGACTAATACATGTAAATGACCTCTTTTCTTATTGGCTTCCCCGTAATTTACCTCATTCAAAAAGCAGTCCGGGCTGAAATACTCCTTACAACTTGAATGTGAGTGGGCTGGGCTAACCTGCTGCTGTAGACTGAAAGAGCTTACATATCGCTGCTGTCGGAACAAAAACTTGTTTTTTTTTACATAATTTGAAAATGCCTGTTGGTCTTTACATTGTGTGTAAATTTTATGAAGGATGGACCAAAACAAACCACCCAAAATTACCTGAAAAAAGTCTGGTTCTATTGACTTACATGAAAAATAAAGTATGTTTTTTCCATCTCCAGTAAAGTTATTATTTTGGAGATAATGAGGTTTTGTTGCAACAGCAGCGATATGTAAATGTGTTGGTTTTCATGACATCACGAAAACAACAAATTTAAAATGGGTTGTTTTTACAGCTTGATTTCCATTTAAGGTCTGTATGGACTGAGGAGTGAATGGTATGTTTTTAATCCATGTTTACAAACTATATTAAATTTGGTTTTCAATGAAATGGCCCTTTAATTGCGGAGTTGCCTCAGGCATGTTTGATCAGGCAAATCACCAAATTGTGCTGTGCCTCGACCTTCCAGGTCTGCAGTTGGACTCCCGTGATCTAGGTGGTCTTCACAAAGCGCATCTTGAAATTTCCACAGACTGACAAGTGAAAACCTTTTCTGAATGGCACCTTGCTGTTGTAAAGAGCAAGTCTGGAGGTACCTGTGTTAAAATTTTTAAAAAAGGTCAGCGTTGCTTTCGTCTGTATACTTCTGTAGCACCACAAATCATTTGTACAATCAGCTTTGTGTTCTCAAGAACCACTGGCTCCAAGAAAGGTCATCTAAAATCTCCTCACTGTCTCAGGGTTGTAAACTTGACACAGCTCTAAGTTTACTGGAGGCTGCTGGCATTGTCAGGGAAGCCCAGGCACACAGCCTGACTGACAATCAAGACAAAATGTGTCGCCTTCCGTTTGGACTGTCAGAACGAGCTGATCAAAAACAGCTTCAAAAAACAAAAGGCCTCCGTTTTGTCTCAGGTCACTGTGTCTATTTCTTGAGACACTGGTACATGAGCCCTCGGGGGTTCAGGACGTAGCGCTCAGTGTTGAGGAACTTGAGGTACTGCGGCATGGCTGAGCGTGGAGCTACGTAGGACATACCTGGAGCAACTGCCATAACCTCAGCAATCTTCTGCTTCATCTCCTTGATCTCCTGGTCCTGCTTCACAAGTTTAACTGCAGAGAGAAAACATTCAGGCAAAATGAGCTGCCGAGATGAGTGATAGATGATCTCACTGCCATAGTAACAATTATTCAAATGGGCTTTTTTGCGCTACATTAAACACAGTTATTAACCAGCAGATATTATGTTTGTCATTAGCTTGTAAATGAACCATTAGAAGTCGCAATTATTGAGAACAACAAAGAATGTTTTGTATTTAGTTCATTTTCTAACTCATAACTCATTAAACAGGCTGAGAAAGGGACCTAGTGTCCATGCTCTGCCCACAAATCAATTCTTTCTTGAACAAGCTTTATAGAATGCTGGAAAAAAAATTCTTCTCAGCACAAGAAACTGTAATGCATAAATTTAGTAGGGATGTACAAGTGGGAAGTGACCAATTTGGAACTGATAGATTTTGCACAAAACATGAAACTGGCAGCCTGCTTATTTATTTTGCAGATGTGTTACAATTGTATAAGGTAAATAAGTGCACTTGCACTGTATTTAAATGCTGCTACTACACCTAAACCAAAATATAGCATTTTATTTGATTCAGGCAATTTAAATAGGCAAATGATTTAAAATTGGAAAAAAAATGTCATTTTGGCCCATTAAAGAATAAATAATGCTGTTTATATTGCAATTAGCCTAATAAAATGTATCAAAAAATGTAATAAAATAAAATGCAGTCAAAAATTTGCCACCAGTCAATCTGCCTGTAAAGAAACTGGAATCAGCCATAAAAATTTAAGATTGGCATGGTGCACCTGAGAAATGTAGTGTTATTCAATTCAAATGATATCCTATATGGAGAAAGTCAGGCTGTTCGAATACTACAGGTGTAGAAATTTGTTTATTTATTTATTTATATATTTTTTGGATTTTAACCCAATTATCTCCCCAATTTAGTCGTCGCCAATTCCACCCGCTAGTTAGGAATCCCCCACTCACACGATACTATCAACACTAGGAGGGCGAAGGCTAACACAGGCTTCCTCCGAGACCTGTGAAACCAGCCGCCGCATCTTTTCGAACTGCCGCTCACGCAACGTCATTGGACAGCTGAACGCGCTCGGAGGAAAGCGCCAACCTTCAGATCTGTTACGTCTAACTAACAGCTAACAGACGCCTGCACTGACTAGCATCGCATTAAGTGATGGGGGAGAGAGCGAGGCCAATTGTGCTCTCTTGGACTCCCGGCTACCGATGGCTGTAGCATCACCAGGGATCGAACTCGTGATCTCCTGATGACAGGGCCAACGCTTAGATGGTTGCGCCACTCGGGAGCCCCCCAGGTGTAGCCATTTGTGATATAACTGAGGTGTTGTTAGCATCAAGGAAATTCTGATGTTTCCAAACTGCCTACTTTTGCTTACACAGTCCAGCTTAGCAGCACGCATTTCAAACTGGAAACTCAATGAAGTGTAGGGACTCTAAACAAGCACTGTAGAGACCTGATATAAAAAATTCAAGTATTTTGACCAAAAATTAGACTGTTGGAGAGTTGTTGAGTTCTGCACTGCAATTTCTCATTAGGTTGTACTGAATTTTGTAAAGCTTGTACTACCTTACAACAGTTGCTACAAAAAGACATGTTTATGGACAGAGCATGGCTAAGTCAGCTCTGTCAGAAGTGGGGAAATTCCAAACGGAGATATTTCTCTATGATTGTAATTTGATGAAAAGTTGAAACAAATTGAACAGACATAACCATGTAATTTATTCTGGAATTGCATTTAAGTAATTATGTTAAGTAAACTGAATGTAAGGCAAAATCACAATAACTTTAGTCAATAAATGTAGATGTGAATCTTAAAACACATGTTTAAGTGAAGAAAAAGGTTTCCTGTGACGCTGACCTTGGGCTATCTCCAGCTGTCTCCGGGCGTCCCCCAGAGCGGAGAACAAGTCCAGTTTGAGGCGAGTTTCTGCGCTCAGGTTGTACTCTAAGTGCTGAGCTTTGTCCTGCAAGGAGGAGAGCGCTGAGAGCAAAGCGTCGGCTTCCTGCTCTGTGCATTTGTGCTTCTGGAGACTCTGAGGACAAGCAGGCAGACAGTGCAAATCAGACACACACAGATCTAAAGCCCAAGATGGATTAGCTGTACCAGGGGAGGTACTGTAATGTACGTGATTACCAAGGAGATTTATGAATTTAGTCCTCTACAAATCTACACATCAGCCTGACCGTAACAATAGTGAAGTAATTTTAATCCAGCATGAATCTGCAGTGTGTGTAGTTTGTACAGTCTGACAGTAATTGTGGAGTAATTTTAATCTAGTGTGAATCTGCAGAAGCAGAGTGTGTAGATTTCACAGTCTGAAAGTAATAACTGTGAAGTGATTTTAATCCAGTATGAATTTGTTGTGTGCAATTTTTACAGTGAAGTAATAGCTGTGGAGTGATTTTGATCCAGTATGAATCTGCAGTGTGGATAGCTTTTGCAGTCTGACAGTAATAATTGTGGAGTGATTTTAATCCTGTATAAATTTGCAGTGTGTGTAGTTTTTACAGTAATTGTGGAGTTTTCTGTAATTGGCTGAACCTGGCGCTCCTACAATAACAGTGGCCCTGTTCCAATTCTCCTCACACTAATGGATTAAGTGACATCACAACTGTGATGTCACTGCTATTGAGTGTTGTGTCATTGACTAATGCTGACGTGAACATCCAGGCTTTCTGTGGAAATCTGGGGAAACTACATAGATACTTTATCTCATACTAATTACATCACAGAGCCTCCTCTGGTGAAACAAATCTTACAGATCCAGCATGTTTTAATCACTTAAAACTGCCTGGCAACTCATCCTGAATTTGGCTTTAGCCTTCTACTGATCACTCTGGACATTTGGCCTGCAACTGGCACAACTGTTGTTTTCTTAAGTATCAAAATGTGTGGAGTTGTAAAACTGAAGTCTCTGTACAATCAGAAACACAAAACGTTTCAAACGTTTGTCCAGAGATGAGTTAGAATGGTCATAATGTGTTTGTGCTTTGTAAGTTCTTAGAAATAAAAATCAATTTCAGACTGAATAGTGGAGGAAATGCTAGCATATGTAGCGATGCAGGATGGGCAGCCAGGCCAAACTTACGGTATTTTACATTTAATGACCCACTTTTCACTGACCCCAAACACACGTTAGTTCCATTAGTGTTTTTCTCCAAGTGTTTCATTTGAAAAGCATTTCGTTTTAGGGTCAGTGTAGCAGTACTGAACAGTGCAGGATGTGATGTGAAAATCCAAATGCATCCATTCATAAAGCAATGAGTTTTAAGCACAGGAAATCTGCAGCATGACTGTAAGCGAATTTATTTGAGTTTATAAAACGGATTGTTCTGGTCATAAAATCTGATTGGCTGAGCCGTGTTCGAGGCCGTTGTAAAATCCACGATATACGCACAACTAAGACCGCCTAACAAAAGAGTATTTCTTAGCTATATTTTGCACCGTTGGGGTGCAGGAGCCAGTATTTAAATTCCTACGTATTCCATTCCTGACTGTAATACACAGCGATGGGCAACCGACCATTCTCCTCATTCATCAGTCCATGGTTGCTTGGCAACGATACCATACTCTAAAGCAACTACGATTCTTTGGTGAAATACTTGTTTATGTCTATTATTATTAATAATAACAAATTGTTTTCTGAACAGATGTGTATTTTATGAGATTTTATGTTGGCCGCCGTTTTATAAAAGCAATAAGCCACTTGAGGCCAGGCGTTACTGCGATTTTATCATGGGAAGGGTGTTCTTAGGCATGTCACGAAGATTAGTGCCTAAAACTCCCTTCCCTGTGATAAAGTCACAGTAATGCATGGCCTCTAATGGCTTACTGCTTTAATATAGTACAGTACTGTGCAACTGTTTTAGGCACCTAAGCTCACTGTTTAAAAATATTTATATCGCCAATAAGTGTGTTTTTACAAGTAAAATCACCATGTTTCATTAGATTAAATGCAAATAAACATAAACGCAGTAACGACTAACAAGACTTTCTTGCTTTCAGAAAAAGTTACTTTTTAAACAAAGTTTGATCCCAGATTTCTGCTGGACGTCCCCAGACACTGCATGCATTTATTAAGTTCCTTCACCAGCACACTTAATACTTATTGTATTGGTATTATTTGTATATAGTCTTATATTAGTGGTTTTAGGAACAAATAAACACTTACCTGACTACAAAAACAGCTTTTTTTTTCTCAGCCAGGTGTCTAAAACTTTTGCACAGTTCTGTAATTCTCTACACTTTTGAAAGAATATGTAGCAACCCTATGATGGTCCTTATATACTTTTCCTATTAAATGGAAATACATTAACTATAAGCCTATTTTGCTTTGAGACAGCTGAATAAGCACTTTACAAGCCAACTATATGCAGTTGACACAGACTGTTACAGTTTCACTTCATTGCAGAACAAAAAATAAGTTTTAAAATTTTTCTGAAAGCATGCTTTATGTGCACACAATACAAACACCAACACTAGAAACTCACGGCACAAACAACGTGAAATGAAATCAATCAAAATCAAAAGCACTGCACGAAAATGATAATGAAACCATTGCCTCAAAAATATCTAACTCAACACAAACAGGCTTAAAATCATTCAGACACCAAGTCACCAATATCCACAGATGTCACACACGCAGGATGGGAACACACAAAACCACAAACGAAACATTACAACTACTCAGATGTGCTGTTCAAGGTATTTGTGAACCACAAATTTTTACCTCCACTTCTTTTTCTAGAGCTAGCACTCGATTCTCTTTCCCCTGATAGTCCAGCTGTAGTTGTTTGTACTCTGTGTCTAGATCTCTAGCTTTTTTCCTTAACAGCTGCGTTTCAGTGTGTTCCTGCCTAGTAGATGGGAGAAAATACAGCAGTTTGAACCGACAGCAAAATCGCTTCATGAACTGCTCTGCACACATTAAAGAAAACTTTATTCACAACTAAAACGACAATGCCATCTTTTTTGAGAGATTTTCAAGCGTATTCAGCAAAGCTCGATTGCAAAATGAAAGGAGGGTAGGAAAAATCATTATGGACAAGCAAATGAGCAAGCAGCAGTTTTATAAACTCGTAACTAGTCTCTTTGTGCACTGGTGCATTCATTACACTGTTTCATACCTGTTCGGTGCGCTGCGAAGTAGAAAGGCTGCCTCATCGAATTTTTGGGATCGAACTTCTGCAAGTTGTTTTTCTGTCGCCACTCTGCTCTCTGTTTCTGCTCTAGCTCTCTTCTCCAACATGGCACAGTTCTGTTTGTCCTTCTGCCTGGATTTTGTTAGATACTGAAGCCTGAAAAAGAGAGAAAAAGAGATTAGGATGCACAGCAGAAGACTTTATCAGAAGATTAAATGAACTGTATGAAAAAGGAAAGATGTGAACACAGCTTACTGTGCCTTATGGGCATTTTTCATTCTCTCCTTTTTTTTTAACTCATAGAAATTTAAAGTTATTATTTTAGTTTTGCTATACTATTCAAATAGAATTGTGTAATTACACGCTTAATTAAACAGCACAGTAACACAATTACACTTATTTTTCAATGTACATACTGTATCGACAGATTTTGTCTTTTTCCATTTGTTTTAATGTCAGGAAATGACAAAAATGTAGCAAAACTGTAAAGGATGTACTTTCTTTCCACAATACAAGACTGTATATATAGCAAAATTCTAAAAGAGTGCTTCTGTCGATTCTTCCGCAGTGAGAAGAAAATTCAACACTATGGGTCTGAAAGGACGTGTAGCTGTCAAGTCCTTACTGAGAACAGCAAATAGACAACAAAGCAGCTGCTGGTGTTCTCAGAACAATGGACACCCCCAGAGTGCAGAGCTCAACATTGCTAAATGGCAAAGGGTGGACACACTAAATACTGAAAAAACTGAAGTTTAGTTTAGTTGATACTTCTGTGTAATTTTCTTTTAAATATGTTTTCTGCTTTTTTCATGATAATGAAAAATTAAAGACCTGCATTGACCAAAAAGTAAATGCACAAAGGGTGGCTCTGAGTTTTGCGCAGTGCTGTATCTCCTCTTTTGCTTACAAACAAACACAAAATGGAATGAAAGCTTTGAAAAAACTCTGAGCTTTTAACAGAGTGTATCTGCTTGTTTTTCTGTTTGAAAAATAATTCAAACAGAATTACACCACCACACTTTTTATATTGCAAGCAGCAAGTATTAAGAGACCAAAACACCAGACATGAGAAGCTGCTGTAAAATATGTATATGCATCAGTTAAGCTTAGCTTCAGTGGACAGTCTCTGAGGAAAGCAAAGCAACATGTAAAAGAGCTCACTTGTTCTGCAGAAGTTCGTTTGCGTGTCTGAGCAGTGAGACTTCAGGCCGCAGGCTGTTCTCGCTGTTGGTGAGGTTACAGATGTGACTACGTAACTCCTGCTCATTCTGTTGGCTCGTCTGCAGCTCCATCTTCAGTTTTCTCATTTCTTGCTCCAGCCTTCAGCAGACACAAGATTCAGATAAAGAAATTAGGTCTTAAAGTGCATCAACACATTATGATGAATTACCATTCCATCTTATCCCAAAGCTACAGGATGGAGCTCCATATCCCTCTAGCTGATGCTTGCCACAGGACATGATGAATTAGACTCGTGCGGCTGCCCCTTAGAGACCCACTCTATTGTAAATGCTTTTCTTGGTAGATTATACAAGCTATGTGTGTACAATTGAACCCTATATTAGCAATGAGTGCACATTATCACTTAAGAAGAAGTGAACTGTCTAGATACTTTTGGACATATAGTGTAAAATACTGTGGACATATAGTGTGTCCAAATACAGTTTTGATATATACTATACCAGTTTTTTTTATTCCAATACCAAAACAGCTCGGCACATTGTTCTTGGTGTATATTTTACTGTGTAAACAGTTTCTCCACTGACTGCATTTTGGACATTCAGTGTATTTCTACCAAAATGATATTAAAATAATTAAATTGATTCAGGATTTAATGATGCATTGAGCAATTTGCTAATAAATCATTAATCATTGAATTGTTGTGAAGTGAAGTACTCTATTTACTCTTTTAGATTTACATGATTAGATTTGCTTAGGAGTTCAACTTTAAAAGAATGTACACATTACTTAGATATTTGTTCAGCATGAGGATTTTGAAGACTCTGGATGTTTGAGCTCCTTTCTGCTGCATCTGCACTGGAGCTGATGGCTTTGGGAGGTTTTTGCTTCCTCTCCCCTTTGCTGGTACTGATGCTCACGGAGCTCCTCTGCACTTTAGCCTGGGAGGTCTTGGAGGCTTTCTGAGCTTTACCACTCGAGTCCTCCTGAGGTAGGTTTTCAGGGATGTCGGGCAAAGGCGCTGAAGCTAAGCGCACTTCAGCTCCATGTGGCTTGGACCCCGGAGGCTGAGGGTTGGGGTCTCTTAGTGTCTTTGTGTCCCCAGAGTCTCTCTCAGCCCTGCCCTGAAGTCTGCGGAGCTGGAAGCAGTCCTCCAGGTCCTGCTTGTCCTCCGATATGATGGCATCATTTTGACATTGGTATTGCATGGGCCCTGGTTTGGTCCTCCATTTGGAATCTAAATACAGAACAAATCATTTTAAGATGTGTGTGTAATGGTAATTGCATTTTCTAGTTTAAGGAAGGACATTAAATCAGTGTTATTTTAAAGTATGATTTTTCAGTAAATTAGAAAATCTTTTATTATTAGTCTAATATTGGGATAAGGATAATCACAACCAATAATTTAGTGCTCCATTTGTGCTCATGTATGCATTAATGCATATATAATCATGGTGAATGGGAATTTTTGTTCTTTGTTCTAAATTGGCAATCTTGTTTCCAAACTATCTTTACTTTTTGTAACTAACAATAGGTCATACTGACATTAATACTGCACTGTAGCCTGTGCATGCATAATGACAAGTGTCATGACAGTAAAGCGTACAGTCAACCAAAGCTTACATGTAGACTGTAAGAATGTGAGTGTAAAAATTACCACTAGCTATCTGGCTAATAAACAAAAAGATTTCCCTAAACATGTGATAGCACCCAGCTATAACTTGTGTTTGTGTTTTCCTGTAAAACTTATACTTGTCTTTCCTTTTTTCACAATTTTTTCTCAACCAAACCAACATAAACACATTCATTTCACATTTTGTGTGTTGTGATACGATATGGAGCATAACTGTGAAAATAATTGCTTAAATAAGCTTAAATAATTGCAGGTGTCTCATCTAATTTTGATCAGGTAATTATGTAATATTTGTAACATGCCTAGCATGGAATAAAATTTTTCGGACCACGTCATATATCTTTACATATTAATGTCACATGCACAGGCTCAAAAAAGAAGGACCAGATGGATGTTCAGGTTTCAATTGCAAAATTAATAGTATCCTGATGAAGAAATGATAACAATAGTAGATAATTCACTTACATCCTCAGAGGACACTTCCTTCACCAAGTTTTGACTGAGTTCTCTTTAAACATACTGAGTTCTCTTTGAACGTGCTCGCAAACATCATACTCATCCGCTCGGGGAAAGGGTCCGAAGCACAGCCACCATTTCAAAATGTTGCATGCTATTAAACATTTTCACCAGAAAGATCTCCAAGATCTCCAGAACATACATACTGTAGCTTTAAATATCCTGTGATACTGTGACTATGTGATATATTTCAACACTGTTGTGATACTGAGTTTAATCAGTACTGTCCTGCCCTAATATCGGCCACAACAACATGTTAAACATTGGTTATGGTCATTGAACCAGACATTCAAAATCCTGACCTCTGCACAAAGCTTTCTACAAGACCAAAGGCAAAACAAATGGGTAGAAGAGAATCTGTCCTTGCCTTCCACTCCCAGCTTTGGGTAGAGTTGTGTGTATGGAGGTAGGGACTGTTGTAGGAGATGCATGTGCAAGTCACTGTCACTCTGAACCGCTTTTTGAGTGCGAAGTTTAAAGATGCTAGAAAAGTAGCATGTTGCATCAAATCCCATGTACACCAGTGGATACCCAATGCTGGGAAAAAAGAACATTATAATTGCGTTATACAGATTTAATTTACATCAGGTACATTGCTGGAGACGGGATTCAAGAAACTATAGTATATACAATGTCAAGACACAATACTATCTAAAACATTAGCATGCATTATATATATAATAATCTTTTCAAAAAAAATTTTGAAAGGCTGGACCTACCAGTGTGCAGCGAACAAGTGAGATAGGTTGGCATATGGATTCTTAAGGTCTCTCAACCTGAGAGAGGCCTCCGTATATACAAGGAGAATCCATAAGGTCACAGTGGACATACAGATGCCCTTCTCTGAGGAAGGAAAGAAAAGTTGCAGATATGACAGTGATAATAGACAGACATCCCTATCCATCCATCCATCCATCCATCCATCCATCTTATCCACCACTCATTATCCCATAAATATCACCTGAAGTCTGCTATGGGTATTAAATAAACTGTATTCAATAAACACATAAAAAATTAATTGTTACATTTACAAAGTTAACAGCTGCATATTAAGGCTAAAATAACAATAACTGTCAAATGACACTAGGATATTCCTCTGCTTACCTGTGTGCCATATGTAGTTGAGTAAGACATATGTGCTGGCAGCAAAAAACAGCCAGTGTAGAGGTACAAAAATTAAGCAGAATATGTCCAGGGTAAACGCTGCACACACAAACACGACACAGATAGCCTAGAAATGAAAAAGACAGCCATCAGCTACCAAATATATTAGTAGTAGTATATTAAGGCTGTCACTGTGTTAATAATTAAGTTATTTACTGATTATTCTGATTGTTAATTGAGTAATAAAAGGCCAAAAAACAAAATGAGGCCAAACAACTGAACAATGATAAATGATGCATAGCTTTTCAAAGATCGCAAACACTTTACCGGAAAAAACACAAATGCTATATGGTGAAATGCATATAAACGAGTGTGCCCATCAGTGAACTCATCAGAAATCAAAATATGCATTTTCAGCAGTCAGTTTGCCAACTTCCCAGTGCTGATTCATCGATATAGAACTTTTATCAAAGATATGTTAACAGTTCCATGTATTTACAAACTGATTTGATTTTGTATTAAACATGCTCCAAAGAAACGTTCACTGCAAATTCACAATCATGAGCACTCAACAAATACGTAGTTTTTAAAGCCTCCAAAATCTCATAAAGTGTAAGTGGTTTGAATAATGTCATGTTTACATATACACTTGTTGCAAACTGAATAGTTCATTAATAATTGCCATAGCTGGTGCTGCTGTGGGGTTTCAGTAAATTCAGCAAGTAAAATAGCCTACCAGCCCATGACAGTGGAACGTGGTGTAGACGGTTCCAAGGAAGAGCCAACAAGGCCACAAATATTCCAGTCTGAACTCAAGAATAAAGTCAGCCAAGAGCACCAGGATCCAGACTATCATGAACTTCAGGAAAGAGTACGCACTGAAAGCAGAGAGAAAAAGCAATTTTAAATTCAAGGCTAAAATAAAGGGTAATAACAGGGAATTTGTCCCTCTTTGCTGCAGTAACATCCTCTACTCTTCTGAGAAGGCTTTACACTAGATGTTGGAACACTGCTGAGGATTTGATTGCATTCAGCCTCAAGAGCATTAGGGATTTCAAACTCCACTCCAGCTCATCCCAAAGGTACTCCATGAAGCTCCATCACTCCAGAGAAAGCAGTTCCACTGCTCCAGAGTCCAATGCTGGGGGCTTTAAACCCCTCTAGCTGATGCCTGGTGTTAGGCATGGTGACCTTAGGCTCATGTGCAGCAGCTCCAGAGGGTCCCATCACATTAATAATGCTTTTTTAAGTAGATTATACAAGCTTTGTGTGAATTACTGAATGCCTGTGTCAGCAATGGATGTGCTTTAAAGAAGAATCTCACTGATTTTCAAAGTTAAGTAAACAGTTAAGATGTAAACATCAAATCAGCCCCCAAAGAAATTTCTCGGGTTGCTGACATTGAGACCCCTTCTTCACCACTGCAAAGAAATATGAATATTGAAATATGAAATTTCTCTATAAGGAACCATTTCAAAACAAACCGCTCTGAAAGACTCTGTTTACACATCAATCACTGAAATGCTATTGAATTTTGAAATATCTGTGGAATTCTGCTTTAAAGCAGCTGAATTCACTGTCTGGTTGCATTTGGGCAAACAGTGTATGTTCATAAAAGATGGATATTCTTTCCTTAATCTGTTAAAGCATGTAAAAATAAAAGCAAGATACACCTTTGGTTTAGTAAGGTTTAGTTGCTTTTATTGCATTTACGTATTTATCTTGGAACACATTCAAAATTAATTTTCTTGTTCTCCAACAAAATTTACAAGGCACAACGAACAAAAACAACGTGTGCCCTCCTCACTGTTTGCTGACGGCAGCCATTGAATCTGTCTTTCCTGAATGTAAAGTAAACGGACCAGATTCCTCCAGCTTAGGATTCTTTGTTTACAGTTAAAGGACATTTAAAAAAAGCTGAGACATCGATTAAAAAAAAACACAGCATGCCTATATGAACCTTTATAGACGTTATCATAATGAATGTACGGCCTATTGTTTTCATTTCCTTTGTTCTTGTGCTCTGCCTTCAGCATCCTTTTGTGTTTGGTAACCATGGCAACGTCTGATTTCCTCAGCTGCATCAGCACCAAAAGCAAGAAGGGCAAGGAGTCCAGCATAGTGTGGTCATTACCTTCTTTAACACACTTACTCACTCACTGGACCTGGTCACTACCTGATGAGCGGAATCAGATGTGTGGGTGAACAGAGAAAACAGTCTGGCTCTCCAGCAGCAGAGCTGGACACTGACCTGACGCGTTTGCTATTTATGGAGCGTGAAAGATGGAAACAACTGTGATGCTTACATAAACAGTTTACAAACATGTTTGATACGATATGCTAATAAGACCATCTACGACACTACAATAAATAAGAGCCCTGGGCTTGAGTCAATACATCTCGGTGAGGCAAAACAAAACACAACAAGGGTCATCAGTGCGCTCCTCCGCTTCTGATATCCCTCCTTTCTCATTTCCAGCTCTTACATGGATCACAAAAGACCCCAAATCAATCAGAAAACCTCGACTTGTTCTTCTTTCGTTCCTTTGTTCATTCTGTCTGCATCTCCGATGCACTAAAGACATTAACGTCTAAGCTCAAGCGCTTTCGACTTGACGATGTGGTAACAATAAAACTGGAGCTTACAGGCTAAAAAAAAGCAAAAACATATTTACAGGCATGTGATATGCAAAAGGAGAACAAAGCAACCAACGTCGATGCTTAACGAATTTTCCGTTCCACCTTAAATGGTCCAGGCGGCAGAATGTAACTGCCGGACCATTTAAGGTGGAACGGAATATTCAAATAGGAATAAGAAACTAACTTGAGTGTGGTTAAGCTTGTGGAGAAGCTATGTTTGCTGTAAGGCTCTTTTTAGACGAGTGAGTCAGGCCTCTTCACTGGTGATTCGAACAACATTAATCGATAAAGGTCGACTGTAGTCACTATCAGGCTGCTAAGCGGGTCATGTCGAAGCTAGTGTGCTGTTATTAACGGACCTACAGCGAACTGTGAACAGAAAACGAGAACAACAACACGAGGCTCAATTTGGCTTCCTATTCTGAGGCCTGAGGCACCAGAACGTAACTGCTGCACCATTTAAGGTGGAACGGGAGAATTCGAACAACAAGCTGGCGAAGAAGAAGCTTCAGCCTCGTAACAACAACAACAACCATCACCATCACAAAAACAACAGCATCCTCCTCCTCCTCCTCAGCAGCAGCAGGCTCGCTAAAAGCAGCGCCGTGTGGCCGTCTTACCTCTCGGAGAGCTTCTCTGTCAGTTTGAGCTTCTTCATTTTCCGCAGCTTGCCGATGTCCATGCAGCGTTTCTTCATGTTACAGCTTCTGTTCCTCCTCCGGGGGGATTCAGTGCGTGAGATGGGAGAATGGCGCTGTGGAGACAGGTAGGTTCATGTAGAGGAACCTGAGGAGGAGGAGGAGGAGAAGGAGGAAGAACAGAAGGAGGCGCTGCTTTTGTCCATTTACTGGATGTGGACGGATACACAACACAGCCACAGAGAGAGAAAGAGAGAGAGAGAGACGAAGGCGCGCGCTCGACGTGAACTTTCACGCGCGCACGCGCACAGATGAATATTTCGTGTTGTTTTGTTTTACCCATTTAAAAAAAACATGGTTATTCTGTATAGAACCATGAACACCCAAAGAACCATTTGCATGCTTAAATGGTTCTTTGCATGGTGAAATGTTTCTTCAGATTGGTGGAGAATGTGTTAGAACCTTTATGACAAGGGTTCTGCATAACACCAAAAAGGGTTCTGGTATTGTAACAAGCTTAACAATACAAGAACCCTTTCTGGCGCCATATTGAACCCTTTTCATAAATGTTCTACGTAGAACTATCTACAACACATTCTTCATCAATCTAAAGAACGCTTTAATCATGGAAATGGTCCTTTGAATGTTCATGGTTCTATATAGAACCTTTTGCTTTACTAGAGAACCCTTGAAGAACCCTTTTTGGTGCTATATAAAACCATCTACAACACATTCTCCATCAATCTGAAAAACCATTTCACTATACATAAAGAATCATTTAAGCATGAAATGTTTCTATGTGGAACTATAGAGCTTTATACTAAAGAACCCTTGAAGAACCATCATTTTTAATTGTGTATGGAATCTGCAATTTTTAATATGAGACATGCAATTTGAACAAATATTAGTACTACTAAAAATAATTCTGCACATTCTCGAAATTCTACTGTGTGTAAGAATTTGGTTCTCAGTATTAAGAACTACATGACTGTCCCCAATTCATAGTGGGAGGAACAATGTATACCAGTATGAATTGAATATTATGTGCGAATTCAATTTCTGCTGAATTAGATTTATTTCATTTTATGTGTTAATTAATTTTATGTTCAATTAGATTTCTTTGTACTTAAAAGATTTTAATTGTTACATCTATCATGAAATAGTTATGTATGAATACAGATTTTCTAGGGTTGACTCCATTCATTAAATACACCCCCCACACACACACACACACACCCACATATACACATATATATATATATATATATATATATATATATATATATATATGTATGTATATATAAAAAAATGAGTCTTTCTTCATCATTATCAAAAATAACACATGAACATATAAATAACAATAACAGACAGGAACTGTTAAATTGTTTTCATCTCCTCTTCCACTGCAATGACTCCGCTACAGATTGTCTGCAGGAACAATACTCTGCATCACTTTAATCATGTGACATCACAACCGCAAAAGGTTCAACCCGGTTTGTTTTTGCAAATGGATGGACGTGGGGAGTGTATGTTTTTAATCTGTTTACAGAGTAGATCAAACACTTCATAGAAAAAAAGGATAAGGAATATTTAGGTTTCCTTGATATGGCCCCTTTAAAACAAGAGAGCAGATCGTCCTTCAGAGGGAACAGCTGAACTGAGGTAAAGGGTGTGTAGTACATTAGTAATATCATATGGGACTACGCTTGTACACTGTTCACTAGCATGTTTTCTAGTTTTTTGCCCCTCATTAATCTCTCTTCCTATTTTTTTAGGTGTAAAGCACTGCAGGAACCTCCTCCTCTCAGCTCTTTAGTCTAGCTGAATACTGCAGGATGCCAATCATTTTGCATAGCCTGATAATTTATGTCATCCACATACTCCTGCTGACTGATTAGAAACAGACCCAATTCAGCATCTTTCAGACTGATTCCAGAGCTACAGGTATACATTCAAAGAATAATCAGAAGCAAATAATGTACAAAGAACCTTTACTTGAGTATTATAACATTTCCTCTCAAAGTGAGATTTATTTCCTCTCTTTGTGCAATAAATCAAAGGAAAAACACAAATTAAAGCAATGATCATATTGGAGAGAACTGCTGTTCAATGTGATTTATATTCTCACAGCAATTGAAATAAATTATGATTTTATCAGATTTCTTCCTGCAGTCATTTTAGATCAAAGTCATTCAAATTAAAATAAAAGCATTGCACAGTCATCCGTAGCACAAGTTTGTAATATGCAATAGTCAAAAATGGGAACGTTCTGCATGGACTTGTAAACGACTGAACCTGAGAACAAATGGATGGACACAATAAACTACACAAAGAAAAATCTTCGCCTGCTTCTTGATTGGTTTTGTCTCAGATGTTTATCACAGAAAATATGCTGACAATCCAGTGCCACTCAGTCTCAGTCATGTCCACGGACAAAGACAGCAGAGAAAAGTCAAGATGTCAGAGCTCATTTCTGGGTGATGGGGAAAGAGTTCTGGTCCATGAGCTCCCCCACTTTCTCCTGGAGTATCTGCACAACTTCAGCCAAAATAAAAACGTGTGTGTCGTCCAAGTCCTGAATAATAAACTTCTTCCCCAGTGCTGACGTCTCATCCAGATACAGGAGGAACTGCTTCATGGCAGGGTCACTATGGGTTGACACACAAATATAATGTGAGCTAAAAGTCAAGCAACCTTTGTTTACAATGCCATAAATAACAGCTACATCAGTGTTTACAATTAGAAAGGGCTCACCATTCCACAAGAACTCCTTTCAGCACGTTCACCATCTTTTAAAATTATGGAGCAACTTCCAAACCGCTGAATAAATACTCAGATCTACAGGGGGAATAAAGAAAACATTGTTAAAAGGAAATTCCACTATTTTTTAAAAAATAATTCTGCATAATTCAAAGGTTGAGGTGTAAAAATGTCATTCAGAGTGGTTAGATGTGAAATGTAACAATTACTAATTACTAATTAAAACAATGTCTTAGACATGAGGCAATATATTCATAACCATTTAAAGGGGAATTCCACCAATTTTTCAAAATTTCTGTATAATTCAGTTCTTGAAACAGAGTCATTCAGAGTGGTTTGATGTCAAATGGTTCACTGTAGAGAAACTTACAGACACTGATTTCTTTACAGTGGTGGTGATAGGAACCAGGTATCGTTGTCTACAACACAAATATAGTTACTTTATTTACTATCCACTAGTGACCCTACTCAGGTCTTCTGGGTTTTTATGTAATGTTGATAGCAAACAGTGCTAAATCTGGAAAAAAAAAAAAAAAGTTTTTTTTTGGGGATTATTTTGCCTCACAATGTCCTACGTGTACCCCTTCGCCATGAATGGACTGAAATAAATAGATTAACATACATTTTATGTTAAGTTTTATCATAAAACTACCATAAAACAATGTGTCATACATCAGGCAGCATATATCTAATAATCAAATCAAATAACATGCCTTAGTATGTAATAAGCCAGGGATTTTAAGGGGCTAAACTCTTCAGATGTGAATTTGTGTATATGTACATACATACATTCATGTACATACATATATATATATACACACATCATAGACATGCACACGCACATACACATACACATTCAACATAAGCAAGATGTCTATGATTACAGAGTCTTAACATAATTAATGGCCTCAGTCCAAAAGCGAATCGTTGCTGCCTTGGCATTATAAAATCTGGCAGTTGTCCGTTCTAGAATAAGAATGTCCAGAAAATATCCACACCATAACTGAGATAAAGAAAGGTCAGGTTCAAACCAGACCTTCAAGATTGATTTCTTGGCCGCAGTTAAGGCTGCCATCACGACCTGGATTACTTTGTTTTCGTATTTCATTATGCAGAAATCTGGTGGAATTACACTTAGAAGTCTTACTAGATTTAAGCAAAACAATCTGTTTCCCACTAAAATAAAGCCTCTAGAGTGGCTCCAGTGGAGCCCTGACCCCCTTAGCCATGGTCCAGTCACAGACAGCTGTGTGGGGCGAATCCCGTCTGCTTTTACTGGAGTTCACGGCTTTGACTCCAGTGTTTGTCCAGAGAAAGACACCATACAACAGTTTATACACGATGGCAGCATATGAACATTTCAACATTTCATCTCTTTTTCGAATTTCCCGTTCCACCTTAAATCGGGCAGCAGTTACATTCTGGACTGAGGCCTCAGAACGTAACTGCAGCCCCAGTTAAGGTGGAACGGAAAATCTGAATAAGAAGCCAACTTCAGCTTCGTAAACCAGATGATCCCACAACGATAATGAGAATAATAATAAACCTATCCGATGCTGCGCGGCACAACTGATCACCTTTAAACACCACCCACCCGCACCTTCCATATTACTATCTATATCCTTTTGGGCTGCAATATTGTTTGAAAACGTTTTACTTTTTGAGCAAAACGTACTTACACAACACTGTCCTCCCTTTGTTGCTTTCTGGCACTAAGTCGTTTACGTTTCTGCAGCGACAGCGCCACCTGCTGTAGTGGAGTACAGACATGAAAGGAAGGCCTATATGAGCCGCTACAGGAGTCATTGCCAAATAGACAATAGACGTCCTTAATAATAAATAATAAAAACGAAATTAAAAAAATAAAAGCTTTCTACTTCGTTTCACTGTGTTGATGTGCTTGATGGACGATGTGTGGAGAAAGAAACAAATGATCAATGTTGAATAAAAAAAAGATCAGGTTTTGAGTTTGGCTCATAGATGTGCTAAATGAGACAAAGGACATAAATTTACATAGTGTGGGGTCGTAACTGCCACTGTAGGGGGAAAACTGATAATAATATTGTTCACAGGCTGCTAGATATATAACAGTAGGGTAACAATTGCTGTGTACTTTCTCCATGTAGTTTTACTTTTCAATTGCTGTATGTAGGTTCTGCCCAGCTGACACTGGTCCCTCCCCCCACCTGACTTGTCAGATCAAATTTTCACCCCTGTCGACCACTCTCAATCTAGCAGTGACACTGATGTGAGTACAAACCCCAAGGCAAGAGCCCACACTTCATTTCATTTTCAGCCTAAATGGCCACTAAGTGCCAGTTATTCATTTTCTTCTTCAATAATATAACAGAACATTACTCAACAACTAAATATAAACCATTTCAGTATTTATTGTGTCCACCTTAATTATAGCTTCTATTCTTTTCAGGAGACTCACTTTGAGATTTTCAAAGAAATCTGCAGGGATGTTTTTCCAACCTCCAAAGTTCAGTCTTAAAAGTTGGTTGCATTTTCTGCTTCTGATGATTCAGGCAATCTCAGACACATTCAGTGATGTTGGGGTCTGGACTCTGGAGTGGTCAGTCCATTGTTCTGAGAACACCAGCAGCTTCTTTGTTTGATTACAAGATGTTCTTCATTTTGTCTTTTTCCTTTTCTCAGTAAGACCTTCATCGCAGCTACACATCTGTTCAGACTCATAGTGCTGAGTTGTCTTCTCACAGTGAAAGGATGGACAGAAACAACTGTGGATTTTTTCAGATCTGAAGCAGCTGGATTTTCTCCTCTCTCTCAAAGATGAAAGCTTTAAGTACTGTTCATCTGAAGGGGACAGTTTTGGTGGTCTACCGGGTCTTGCACGGTTGTTAGGAGTCCTATTTTCCCTGTATCTTCAATTATTTTCTCTGGATTTGGAAACTCCTTGTTTCATGTAATCTCCTGAACATGTGGCAGTTTTGACTGGAAATTAAATAAATGCAGGATGGTCACCTTCAATTATATGTATAAGTGTCAGCTACAGGGGTATAACTGCACTATCTGGATGATGGAGCACCATCAGTTAATGATCTGAAAGTAATCAATCATTGTCTGTTTGAAAACAATCCTCAAAATGTGTATATCACACTTTAACAACCAAATCCAAAACAGTGACAAACACAGCCACTTTATTTGTTGTGCTAATGCGCTGACAATTCTTTTTGGCAAATATTTAAAAGTGAAATCCATGTGAAGGACGTAGTCTTCAGTTATGCCATTAAAATTAATGTACACAAAAATACTGGGTTTATACAATCAAAATCTTTTCTAGGCTGTACATTTGAGGTAGGGATACCAAAAAGGCTCGTGAGCTGTAAAACAAGGCATCCTTAAGTACAGTAATCAATGTTTATATGACGTTTAAAAAAAATTATAAATAAACATAAATAAAATGTTAACTGTTAGAGGACATGGTCATAGTCAAAATAAAATGAATTGCTGGAAATCGGTGCTAATATATAGTGGTTGAGTTGACATGTTAACTGCTCACAAAAACATACATTCTAACTGGAATGGTGGGATTAAAACTGCCAGTATAATGTTAAAATGGTTTGGGATAAAGGTGAAATCACAGAGAAATTAAGCACCATGATTATTTTAGAAATAGTTACCACATTCTGTATCCCAAATGTACAGTTTCAAAAATGCTTCTCATTTATCTTCTTTCATAAATCTTGAGTCATTTCTCTACAAATGTGAAAGTGGATGAATGACAAAGACAAAGCTCCCAGTTGAAACTCTGGACAGTGAAGGAAAATTCAGCAAAGTATCTGCTCCCCAAGAGCATCTCGAACAAACTGTAAGCTACGCTTGTAGAGAAAAGTGTCCTTCTTCTTAGGTTTGCAAATGTTAAGATGATCGACGTCGACTTCAATCAGGTCTCCAATACCCAGATCTGAAGGAGGGAGAGTAAAGTACAAGTTGGTGTTAAAGTTTGTGATGCAGATACTGCACAATCTTACGCTAGAAAAAAGGGGTTTCAATGTGGTAATTATCTCTGACAATGCTCTAGAACAAAACCAAATGCACAAACAACAAACTCATTATTATAGACAATCAGCTGTACTTTATTAATCACCAGGGGAAATTCCCAAACTCTTAAAGGGGCACCTGATGATAAATGGAACCATTCCTACATGTGTTGTAAACATGCTTAGTCACCTCCTAGAAACGTGCCACAACAGTCCTGAGATTAAGATTTTCTGGTTTAAAGACTAGGAAAAACCCTCTTTGGTTGATGTTTCTTAAAGAAGGAATAACTTTTGAAAAACTACGTGTGTATTAGGGTGGATATTTGAGGCATTTTTTGGTTTATTTGTTTATTTTTTCCTCCCAAACAAAGTCTAACTTGGACAAACTTGGAAATCAGAAGGACACCAGATAGCTAACGTTACTTCTAGGAAGTCAAATATCACGTCTATTTATTAGACTCTACATCAGTGGTATATTAGTGAATTTCTTTATTGCCTGGCAATTGCCAATAATTGTATGACATATTTGCACAATACATGCTGGTTCATTGTATTTGATTAGTCATTAAGAACGCCCCACCGCCATTTTGGTAGACAGCAGTAACTCCGACATAGCTTGTCTCATCACGATTGCTACAGCTACAACTCTACAGGTAAATGAAGACCAAACAAAATAGCCACAAAAAGATGAAAAGATGTGGCCACTTTGCATACACTCTCCAGAAACGCTATGAGGAGAAGATCTGCATAATTGGCAGACTAAATCTGTAAAACCTGCATAACTCCGTATAACTCTGAAGTTCAGTAAATTCTAATGTGTGACATTTTACAGAAACTAATAAAAATGGAAACCAAAGCTGCCAAAGCTCTTAAATAATAAATACATACATATATATATATATATATATTATATATATATATATATATATATATATATATATATATATATATGAAGCTGAAGTTGGCTTCTTATTCAACTTTTCTGTTCCACCTCAAACGGTGCAGCACTTGTATCCAGGCCACTCATCAGCCTTGTTACACATGCGCACAGCTGAGAAACATTTTTATACTTTTAGCAATTTTGTTTTATATGAACAGACCACTAAACTTTAATGAGCTAATGAACAGCACCACAAAGCTGTAATCTGCCAGTGGAACTGCTGGATTACACTATTTAGTTTGCTAGTATGTGGTTTGAGATGCAGCAGAAGTACCACAGCAGGAAATCTCAGCTGTTTAGATTTCATCTTTTGTTATTCCTACAGAAACAAATAAAATAAAAGCAATTCAATACACTCAAACATATTGGTTATTATGGTTTTCTGGTTATTACATCTTTAAGTGAGTTTTTTTATTACCTTTGCTGGATCGGTAATATGGCTTTGTTATCTATTTTTGTTACTAAAATGGCAGTGTGATTGTGTGTTGTCATCAGAATACCATGAATTGTGGCAAGAGACAGATGAAAATGAAAAAAGAATACAAAATCGTGAATTCAGTTCAGGGGTGCAATGCTGCATTAAAAACATTACGCAACACAACAGATAACATATTAAATGCTAGTTTCAGGCCAGAATGCCCTTTTAAGGTGGCTGAAAGCTAAACTACGTAATTGTGCGGGTGCCATTAAGCTGACCTACCTGCAGACTGACCAGGAACAACTAATAATTTTATCATCGGGCCAATGGACGTGGGTTGTGTCTCTGCAAAGCTCAGGACCTTGAATTCCTGGTCTTTGGCAATGCTAATAAAATTCTCATTCAAGTCCCGCAAGGCTGGGGAATCTGTGAGGTTAGAAAGATAAGTCATCTGTCAAATGCCAGCAACAGAATTACTGCACAAAATATATGACAAGATAATTGTGATGCTTAGAGAGAAAAAAAGAACATCAAACCTCGGCAGAGCTCTTTCACTTCTATTGAGGGAAACAGCAGATATCTCACGTTTACTGAGTACTCTGCCATGAAAGTGCCAAAGTGTGGCACACTGTAGAATAAGACACCCTTCGTGTTCTTGACCAAGGGACTTAGTTCAGGATCCTTTGTGGCATCTAAGAGCATCTTTTTCACCAGCAGACCTAGTAAATTACAAGAAGATATGTAAAGTAACACATCAGTTAGCCATCAGTTCTGGCTTCAGATACTGATGAAGCCTTACCCATTAGACTATTAGGCAGCCATACTATGGAAAAAGTCATGGGCAGGTATTTTTAAATAGACAGTGTATTTGTAATGTATTTATATAAAATATAGTATTTCTAATGTGAAATACATTGAACTGCACAGTTTTGTTCCAAAATGCATTATAGTTACAGTACATTAAAGGGCCCATATTCTACATTTTTTGTGCATTTTAGTTTTTCCTCACACCTATAGCATTGTGTGGGTTTATGTACCAAAAATTCATTGAATTCAATTATTTTTACATGAGCATTTTCAAACATTTCTTTATCCCAAAGCTTTAGAAATAATTTACATAAATGAGCTCTGTTCTGATTGGCTGCCCTATACTGTGTCTCGCTGTGTTAGCAGTCTTGGCTGAAACACCCCTTCTAACTTTAGTATTAATAGGCAAGGTTTAAACTACTGTAGGCAGAATAGGCACATATATGTAAATGTGATGATTTTTGTTATATCACAAAACAGGTTTTTAGTGTAGTCTTAACGGGCTCTTTGTGTCCACATATGGGCTGTATAGGCTGGGAAGCAAAGAGC